TGTGTCAGATGTGTTATATGTGTCAGGTATTTGTGTCAGATGTTTCATATGTGTCAGATGTGGGTCAGGTGTGTTATGTTTGTCATGTATGTTTGGTGTGTCAGATGTGTCAGATGTGTTTCAGGTATGTGTGTGTCAGATGTTTCATATGTGTCAGATGTGTTATATGGGTGTGTGTTATGTTTGTCAGGTGTGTCAGGTGTTTCAGAGATGTGTTATATGTGTCAGGTGTGTCAGATGTGTCAGATGTTTCATATGTGTCAGATGTGTTATATGGGTCAGGTGTGTTATGTTTGTCATGTATGTTTGGTGTGTGTCAGGTGTTTCATATGTGTCAGATGTGTTATATGTGTCAGGTGTGTCAGATGTTTCATATGTGTCAGATGTGTTATATGTGTCAGGTGTGTTATGTTTGTCATGTATGTTTGGTGTGTCAGGTGTTTCATATGTGTCAGATGTGTTATATGTGTTATATGTGTCAGGTGTGTTATGTTTGTCAGATGTGTCAGATGTGTTATATGTGTCAGGTGTGTTGGGTGTATCTTGTTCATTTGTAAGAATTATTAAAAAACCTCTATATAATCATAACTGTAGGCCACCAGAACGTACACAATCGGAACTTGACTTTGATATTGCGATTCTAGTGTTCAATTAAGAGTCCTGTACATGTGTCCGTTTACCCAAGGGTTTGTAATAGATTTACAGATACTTTTAGCATTTCTATCCATCAATCGTCATTATATTGGTGTTTGCTGACGGTGTTGTAATGCCGGGTCTGTTATGGATTACAGTTTTCGATAAGTTACATGAATCATCCAGGTGTTTTTACCTCAATCCCAGCGAACAAATACAGAGCAACTCTCGCCCTCGTTAGACACACTTCCGATATAAGGCCTGTGAGTTTTCTTACTCAAAGTTACTATTTGTGAAGTCCTTGAACGGCATTAAGAAGTGATACACATAAACGGTAAGAATATATGAATGTTAACGTCGTATATTCCTACTTCTTCATCATTACCATTACCAAGCAGCGCTGATTAATGCCCACCGTTGTTATGTCATGTACGTATTAGCTGCTTCGTCATCCCCCGATGAAGGAGTAAGACTACACTAGTACCCCTAAACGTCGTATTTCATAATACAGTAGTTGACGTCCACGGAGTCTCACCCTTTACTATTTCTGGTTCAGCCCTGGGATGGTCCAGCGGTCATCGGAGTCATAACCCTGTCCGGTGGTGTGTGGCCTTTGTCCTTAATAACATAACATACAAAACGGAGAGTTTATCATTTGATCATGTACCCTGTTTCATACTGCAAGGTTGTAACCTACTCTCTGTGCCTCGTTTCAAACTACAAACTTTTGGAAGGAAATCCTTGGCCTGTTCTGCCCCTCTACTCTGGAACTCTCTCCCTATGACCATTAAATCAGCAGTTGACTTTAATTCCTTCAAACGACTTCTCAAGACTCATCTGTTTTCACTGCATTATGACTAACTACTAGTCCTTCATTGTATATATGTATACTCTCCACCCACGTTGTTAGCACTTTGAGCATAGGCCTTGTGCATGGAAAAGGCGCATTATAAGTTCACATTTATTATAATTATTATTAAGGTTATGATGATCCCGTATCACACGCACAGCTGAACCATGCCTGTTGAGGACAACCTCAACTCGGCTGTAGAAAGGCTATGCTTGGATAACCACTGTATGTAGAAAACGACACTGTACACTGATTTTATGCGTTTAGTACACGTCACTATATATACAAGCACCATGAGAATTGTACCCAATTAATCCCAAGCAAACATAAAACCCGTAAACATTTCGCATTATCTATCGTGGGTGAGAGATCCGATCTTGAAACTGTGTGATACTGTACAGGGGACATGTAAGAAGATCAATCATGGTTTGTGAACACACTATCGACCACAGGGGCTTGTAAAGCTAAAACTGCCATCAACGTATGTACTGTCACTGGCGGTGTCTTAGCACTATATAGAAGGAAAGGGGATGTAACGAGGTCAACACACCAAGTTCGTTTCAGGGCGAATTCAACAATGCTCTCTGCATTTATCCCATTTAAAATATGCACACATGTCAAGCCAATAGATTTACCTACAAAATAAGACATACAGCATAAAAATCAAAGCAGTACTTTGGGATCTAGGGTCTTCGGAAGCTAGAAAAATCGTAACTTCTCGATTCCCAGCCAAAATCCCTGTTCAGAATTTGTAGCGGTAACTCACCCATTTTCTTGTATATTTCACAGTATACACAAACGATATGCACCAAAACATGTTGAACTGATGGCACTTGTCAGCGCGCTAGGCGCCATTCTTTCCGAGACACTTATACCTCACTGTCATAATGAGTTTACGTCCATTTATTCATCGCAAACAGAATTGTGTCGTGCCCGTTCGCCATTGACGACCTTGGCCTTAAGCTGCCCCGCACTGAAAAAAGTCAGCGATCAGATGGGACATATTTATTTATAGCCAATGGGCTCCCTTGCTCTTTTTTGTGCGGGGCAGATTAGGGCCGGCGTATGGTTGACGGTGATGTCAGTGTATGGCTGAACAGTGGTATCGGTATAGGGCTGACAGTGATGTCGATATGGGGTTGACAGTGATGTCAGTATGGGGCTGACAGTGATGTCAGTATGGTGCTGACAGTGATGTCGGTGAATGACTGACGGTGGAGTCGGTGTATGGCTGACAGTGATGTCAGTATGGAGCTGACATTGAGGTAACTGAAATCACTGACACTCCCATACTGAAATCACTGTCAGCCAAACACCGACTCCGCCGTACAGTCATTACTGTCAGTCCCATACTGTCATCACTGTCGGCCCCATACTGACATCACTGTCGGCCCCATATAATGTCATCACTGTCAGCCATATACTGTCATCACCGTCAGCTCCATACCGACATCACTGTCAGCCCTATACTGACATCATTGCCTGCCCCATATACTGTGATCACTGTCTGCCCCATAAACTGTCATCACTATCAGCCCCATATACTGTCATCACTGTCAGCCCCATATACTGTCATCACTGTTACCCTATACTGACATCATTGTCAGCCCCATACTGACATCACTCTCAGCCCCATACTGACATCACTGTCAGCTCCATACTGACATCACTGTCAGCCCCATACTGACATCACTGTCAGCCCCATACTGACATCACTGTCAGCCCCATACTGTCATCACTGTTACCCTATACTGACATCACTGTCAGACCCATACTGCCATCACTGCGTAAATAAACATTATAGGCAAACATTATAGGCTTGATGGCAAACAAGATGACATCATGGGAACATATTCGGGAAAGCTAGCGTGATTACCTCTCATGGGCGATAAATAGTTATTGCTCACTTGAACAGAGACTTCAGGGCGGCACTACTAACGCACAGAAACACATACACGCCCTATCATTATCTGAATAGATAGCTGATAAACATCCTGCTTGAACTGCGCTCAGCCGGAGATGACAATCGGTGACAAAAAATTGGTTTCTTGGAATTGAGATTTCTTTTGTTGTTTTCAGAAGACATCACGTTTCCTATCTATTTTTATCATGATGTAAACCATGGATTAATTGTGTCAATGGTAGAAGGCGTGGTTGACTGCCCATCAGTATGTGTGCTGAGATCAGTCTTTATCATTCACAGGTTTGAAAATAAACGAGTTAATATTTTCAATACGAGCCCATGTGCACGTATCACTTTAGCCGTAGCTGTTTGGTTGAAATATTGGCCGCGTCACTACTCCGATAGCTTGTATCCATCCCCAACGACAAATACCCTGTTAGGTCAGTTATGATAGGAATATCGATACATTCTTTTGTACATATATACTCGTGATTTTACTTTTCAGATAAAATTTTCAAATTATAGCTTTCATATATTCTATAGTTTGAAGTAAGTATGCACTATTTTGACATGTAAAACCTACTCACTTACCTCTCAGGCGAGAATTATTGCTCCTTGACCCAGTTTTAGCTGCCTTGTTTTCGTTACAGTAAAACATAATATTTTCGGATGGATCTTGACATACATAACTGGATAATAAAGAAATTACTACACTTGCAAATGTGTTATGTGATTACACTGTTATACCATCTGTGTACAGTCTGTTACACTGTTATACAATCTATGTACAACGTGTTACACTGTTATACAATTTGTGAATATCCTGTTACACTGTTATATAATCTCTGTACAACCTGTTACACTGTTATACCTTCTGTGTACATCCTGTTACACTGTTATACCATCTGTGTACATACTGTTGCACTGTTATGCCATCTATGTACATCCTGTTGCACTGTTATACCATCTGTGTATATCCTTTTGCACTGTTATACCATCTGTGTATATCCTTTTGCTCTGTTATACAATCTGTGTACAACCTGTTACACTGCTATGCCATATGTGTACATTTCGTTACACTGTTATACAATCTGTGTACATCCTGTTGCACTGTTATACCATCTGTGTACAACCTGTTGCACTGTTATACAATCTGTGTACATACTGTTGCACTGTTATACAATCTGTGTACATCCTGTTGCTCTGTTATAATATCTTTGTACATCCTGTTACACTTTTATACCATCTGTGTATTTCATATTGCATTGTTATACCATCTGTGTACATCCTGTTACACTGCTATGCCATATGTGTACATCTTGTTACACTGCTATGCCATATGTGTACATCTTGTTATATAGCTATGCCATATGTGTACATCCTGTTACACTGCTATGCCATATGTGTACATCCTGTAACACTGCTATGCCATATGTGTACATCCTGTTACACTGCTATGCCATATGTGTACATGTTGTCACACCGTTTTACATCCTGTTTACATCCTGTTACACAGCGTGTACTTTCAGGCGTTGTGTGTACACACTATTCTCTCTGATGTTGATGAAGTAATATGGTCAATAAAAGTTACATTTTTACTTGTCTATATTTCAGTGCCACTGCCAGACGACGGAGAAAATAGGCAACTTGACTCTCGTATGTCCCCAAGGTGAGTCTTAGTCATGTAAGCAAATTTAGAAGCTTTCAAACATGTATCACTTTGATTGATACATTGAATCTAACTTGTAACTTACTGTTTCTTCCAGTCATAGATATTGATATGATTCGTTGTTTACAGCTGACATAGGTAATTGAATGTTGTTGAACGTGGGACTCCGGCTGTGTAAAAAATTGATAAACACGGAGGTGGGGCAAAGATCATAGTACATGTGTACTTACAGGATCATTTGGTAAGAAGTCTGAGCAAACCAATATCATGCTGACACATGTTCCCACCGTGTTACAATGTCTCCACCACACTGACACATGCTTCCACGGAGTTACAATGCCCCCACCACACTGACACAAGTTCCCACCGTGTTACAATGTCTCCACCACACTGACACATGCTTCCACCGAGTTACAATGCCCCACCACACTGACACATGCTTCCACCATGTTACAATGTCTCCACCACACTGACACATGCTCCCACCGTGTTACAATGTCTCCACCACACTGACACATGCTTCACACTGACACACACATGCTTCCACCGAGTTACAATGTCCCCACCACACTGGACACATTACCACCTGTTACAATGTCCCACCACACTGACACATGCTCCCACCTTGTTACAATGTCCCCACCACACTGACACATGCTCCCACCTTGTTACAATGTCCCACCACCACTGACACATGTTCCCACCTTGTTACAATGTCCCCACCACACTGACACATGTTCCCACCTTGTTACAATGTCCCCACCACACTGACACATGTTCCCACCTTGTTACAATGTCCCCACCACACTGACACATGTTCCCACCTTGTTACAATGTCCCCACCACACTGACACATGTTCCCACCTTGTTACAATGTCCCCACCACACTGACACATGTTCCCACCTTGTTACAATGTCCCCACCACACTGACACATGTTCCCACCTTGTTACAACCACACTGGCACATGTCTCCACCACACACTGACACATGTTCGAACCTTCTTACACTGTCCCCACTACACTGACACAGGTTCCCACGTTGTTACAATGTCCCCACCACACTGACACATGTTCCCACCTTGTTACAATGTCCCCACCACACTGACACATGTTCCCACCTTGTTACAATGTCCCCACCACACTGACACATGTTCCCACCTTGTTACAATGTCCAGACCACACTGGCACATGTTCCCAGCTTGTTACAATGTGCACACTGCACTGGCACATGTTCGAACCTTCTTACACTGTCCCCACTACACTGACACAGGTTCCCACGTTGTTACAATGTCCCCACCACAATGACACATGTTCCCACCTTGTTACAATGTCCCCACCACACTGACACATGTTCCCACCTTGTTACAATGTCCCCACCACACTGACACATGTTCCCACCTTGTTACAATGTCCAGACCACACTGGCACATGTTCCCAGCTTGTTACAATGTGCACACTGCACTGGCACATGTTCGAACCTTCTTACACTGTCCCCACTACACTGACACATGTTCCCACCGTTGTTACAATGTCCCCACCACACATGTTCCCACACATGTTCCCACCTTGTTGGTACAATGTCCCCACCACACTGACACACCCACCTGTTCCCACCGTGACACAATGTCCCCACCACACTGACACTGACGTTCCCACCTTGTTACAATGTCCCCACCACAAGGACACATGCTCCCACCTTGTTACAATGTCCCCACCACACTGACACATGTTCCCACCGTGATGCAATGTCCCCACCACACTGACACATGTTCCCACCTTGTTACAATGTCCCCACCACAAGGACACATGTTCCCACCTTGTTACAATGTCTCCACCACACTGACACATGTTCGAACCTTGTTACAATGTCCCCACTACACTGACACATGTTCCCAACGTTGGAATTCAAATGTCCCCACCACACTGACACATGTTCCCACCTTGTTACAATGTTCCCCACAATGTCCCCACACCACCTTGTTACAATGTCCCCACTACACTGACACATGTTCCCACCTTGTTGCAATGTCACCACCACACTGACACATGTTCCCACGGTGTTACAATGTCCCCACTACACTGTCACATGTTCCCACCTTGTTACAATGTCCCCACCACACTGGCACATGTTCCCACCGTGTTCATTTGTCCCCACCACACCGATTCATGTTTCCACCGTGTTTCATTGATGTGAGGTTTAACTAGTTTTCCCAACAATATTATTGCCTGATCATTTCCCCACCAAAGAATATTATTGTCTGATCATTTCCCCACCCAAGAATATCATTGTCTGATCATTTCCTCACCCAAGAATATAATTGCCTGATGATTTCCCCTCCCAAGAATATTATTGCCTGATTATTTCCCCACCCAGGAATGTTATTTCCTGATGATTTCCCCTCCCAAGAATATCATTGTCTGATCATTTCCCCACCAAAGAATATTATCTCCTGATCATTTCACCGACCAGGAATATTATTGCCTGATCATTTCCCCACCAATGAACATAATTGCCTGATCATTTCCCCGACAAAGAATATGATTTCCTGATCATTTCCCCAACCAAGAATATTATTGCCTGATCATTTCCTCACCCAAGAATATAATTGCCTGATGATTTCCCCTCCCAAGAATATTATTGCCTGATTATTTCCCCACCCAGGAATGTTATTTCCTGATGATTTCCCCTCCCAAGAATATTATTGCCTGATTATTTCCCCACCCAAGAATGTTATTGCCTGATCATTTCCCCATTCAAGAATATTATTGCCAGATCATTTCCCCACCCAAGAATAGTATTGCCTGATCGTTTCCCCACTCAAGAATATTATTGCCTGATCATTTCCCCACCAAAGAATATTATTGCCTGATCATTTCCCCACCCAGGAATATTATTGCCTGATCAATTCCCCACCCAAGAATATTATTACCTGATCCTTTCCCCATTTAAGAATATAACTGCCTGATCATTTCCCTCTCAAGAATATTATTGCCTGATTATTTCCCCACCCAAAAATATAATTGCATGATCATTTCCCCACTCAAGAATATTATTGCCTGATCATTTCTCCACTCAAGAATATTATTGTCTGATCATTTCCCCACCCAAGAATATCATTGCCTGATCATTCCCCCACTCAAGAATATCATTGCCTGATCATTTCCCCATCCTTTTGAAAACACCTCCCAAAATTGATGAATAGTGCAACTGAAGGGAACTGTGTTAGACTTTGAGATGTTGGAGTGAAGGGATTTAGAATATGAAATTAAAGATTACACGCATGTGTAACATCTATATGAAAATAACATAAAAACGTGTTGTAACACTGCTGTAACACACGTTTTCATTACACGTGTACTATATATTCTATGATGGTTAATGAATGGAACACTACGTTTTGTTCATTCATTCTTATATTTGAGAGAAATCACAACCAAATTTATTAACCCAGTTGCCAAGAAAATCCGCCTGAATATTAATGAATGAATTTTTTTTTACACTACTTCTTGTTCATTCATTCATATATTTGAGTGAAATAACAATGAAAATATATATTCTGGTGGGGTATTGTCCGGGTGGGGAAATGGTGGGTGGGGAACTGACTTGGTGGGGAAATGACTGGGATCCCGTTGTAAAACATTTGTCACATTCATTATGACAAATGAAATTGTCATGGATGAATTACTTTTAATATGTACGAAACTGCTAAGTGAAACCGCTTAATTGAAAGGGGATTGGGGTAACTAAATTGATCTAGGTAGACAGGTGTCATCAAAGCTAAAGAAAAGGAGGTCAGCTGATTAAGACACACTTGGTTTACCTTCTAAACATTAACTATAATAGCATCGACCCGACTAGTAACACTACACGTTCTCTGGTCAAAACCCCCACCTCAACCACTCCATGTCTCCATCCCCAGCTGACTGAGAGCACCGAGACAAACATGTACTGTTATCCACTGATGCAGATAACTGACAACCTCGGCCAGTCACATCCTGCGTCTTCCCAGAAGTGTGTCGTAAACCAAAGTGCATTTGAAGACTGGATACCTGTGCAAAATGTAAAACTTAATCAATATTTTCGAATTCTTCATTACAGGATGGACATTTTATGGAACCAGTTGTTATCTCAAAGTGTCAAAGGCGATGGAATGGGAAGCAGCACAAGAGCTCTGTATGAGGTACACCCGGGGGAAGCTTACAACTGGAATATTTATCCTCATACACACGTGGCTATATGTATCAAAGTTAATATAGGTTTGGTGCTTGAGCTGCCTCAAAGTAAAGTGGTACTGAGGGGGCGTGGGTTCCGTGAGGGGGCGACTGCATGTTTGTATGTTGCACGTCGTGTCACCGTTTCTATAACGTTTGGGTAACACATGTGCAGGGATGAACCAAGGGAGACAACAACAATACGCCCGAGGTGTAGCATGACCGGGATGTAATTAGCTGTTAATGTTTTAACATGTTTATCGACGCTACAAGTCAGACTTGTCCCTTTCCCCATACTATGAATACATTATTCCCTAACATTTAATCTAACTGAGCCCATCTTGTGTCAATATTTCGGAGTTATTGGCCTTGGATACTGTTACAAGAATAGTTGTATTTGTTCCTTGTTAAGCGCCAGTATTGCAGCTTCATGATTGTGGTCAGAAAATAGTCCCGTCTCGACTAGATTCGATCACCAGAATGATCACCCATTTGGTAGCCTTATGGGACGAACATATGTTGTTGGGTATCTAGTCAGCCTACCAGACGGGTGTGGATTACGGATATCAAGGCATAGCTATCATCTATGTTTTGTAACAGAGAACAAGGGATGCCTTTGGACATACAAGACGAAGTCGAGAACAAGGCTCTGGCCGACATGGCGGGTTCATGGAAGATGTTTTGGGTTGGAGACAAAATTAAAAGTAAGTAACAATGTTTTCCACGACACAATTAAGGTATTGTATTATCAAAATAATTTAGTCCATTTTCACATACCTTACAACGGGAATCATACAAAATATTATCCACAAATTGATCATCTTACCATCCATGACGGAATGCAGGTGATATGTCAGTAATGATCAGCATGAGGTAAATTATGAATCAGATGTCACAGATTCAAGTACAGAAAGTCCCCTGATTCCTTTTGAGGGTTATTGGATCGTTTAATAGACCTGCTATTGTAATTTTCTCTGACTCCAAATTCCTGTAAGAGCAACTGGATCGTTTAGTGTACCTGCTCATGTAAATCTTCTAATCCCAGACTGCCATAAAGGATATTTTGATTTTATGATTCATGCGATTCTGCTCCTGTGACCACAGATTCCTGTAAGGGCTTATGGGAATAATAATTCTCATGTGATTTCCCTAACCTCATATTCCCATAAGGGCTACTGGGTCGTTTAATTCTCATGTGATTCACCTCACCTCAGATTCCTGCAAGGGCTACTGAGACATGTAATTCTCATGTGATTCCCCTGACCTCAGATTCCTGCACGGGCTACTGAGACATGTAATTCTCATGTGATTCACCTGACCTCAGATTCCTGCACGGGCTACTGAGACATGTAATTCTCATGTGATTCCCCTGACCTCAGATTCCTGCACGGGCTACTGAGACATGTAATTCTCATGTGATTCTCGTGACCTCAGATTCCTGCAAGGGCTACTGAGACATGTAATTATCATGTGATTCTCGTGACCTCAGATTCCTGCAAGGGCTACTGAGACATGTAATTCTCATGTGATTCATCTGACCTCAGATTCCTGCAAGGGCTACTGAGACATGTAATTCTGATGTGATTCCCCTGACCTCAGATTCCTGCACGGGCTACTGGGACGTTAACGAGCCCCCAGCCAGTGTGAAGGAAGGAGATTGTGCTGCTGTGCAGAAGAACGGTCGATGGAAGGTTGTGTCATGCCAGAGTCGTCTCCCTTTCTTTTGCAAGACCCCATCGTGCTTGGAAGGTTTGTTTGTTTGTTGTGTAACACCGCACACAGCAATCTTCAAGCTATATACCGACGGTGTGCAAATAATTAAGTCTGAACTAGACAACCCAATTATTGCCATTCTGAGCATCGACCAAGTCAACCAAGTCAACCAAGTCAACGAAGATATTCAGATTTTACGGAAGAAAAACACATATACTTGGAAAGGTTCTCTATATATGTTGATAGCGGATCATATACATCAGTTCCTATAGTTATATTAAAAACGATTTTCAAACATAAACCCATGATCGTGTCTTTTACTAACTAGATGTTTTTCAAGCATATATTGTGTAAAGAACTGACTTTAACATGAGATGTTTCTTGGTAATGAAAGTACAAAGGTTAATAGGCATATCTTGTGTAGCGGATTTACAAATATGTTCATTAATGCAATGTTCAAATCAATACTTGAAAAAGTAACTGAGCCATTTTTTCCTGAGGATTATTTAATCCTTAGCACAGACTTGTGCAATTTATTCAATTAATTTTGAAAATAACAGGTTCTTTCGACTGTGGACGTGGAAAATGCCTGAACAGCAAGTGGAAGTGTGACGGCATCAACGACTGTGGCAACAACAGGGACGAGATGGACTGCAGTAAGTGACACAAATGGCAGACGAGCACTCCAAACATCTCGTGGCCTATTTCAGAATGTGTTACACTTCCAGTAACGTGACGGCCTGTAACCTGTACTGATGCAGTATTTGTGTTTGGAGACAGAGAAAATCCAAAAAGTATTTCGTACATATTTCAGGTTACAGATTACGGCGAATTAATATTTTATCTCATATAGGTTCAAAGTGCACATTTACAAACACCGGCGCCAGTGGCAGAATCAATTACTTCAGCGGCTACGCCAACAACGCCGACTGTATGTGGACCATCATCTCACCTCCTGGAACACAGCTTGGAGTGACGGTAAGCAGGGGGAGATAACCGTAGCTGGAGGCGTAACGCTCTCAGCATATCCTACATACATTCGTGATGAAACATAGATAATATCACCACTGCATCTGCTCTTGACTGGTCCGGCGTCTGTACATGTTGGTATTTGCGGAAGAGGCAAACGGAGCTTATGCTTTGAAAGGGACATGGAAAGATTGGAACACGGTCAAATTGGTCATGTTCAACAGGGTGCCTTTCTTTACTTTACTTTTCATGTGTGCGTGTGGCATAACATGGAGCGAGGAGATGCAGAGCATGAGTAACTGGTGTTTTGCTTGTTTCAGTTCAGCTCAGTGCGCCTGGAAGATAAGGTGGATCTACTGGAAGTGAGGGTTGGGGGCCAGACGATACTGGACACCCGGGTGTTGGAGACACTGACAGGCAGCCTCAGCAACAAGGTCATCTTCAGCACCAACAACATCATGCTGCTACGTCTTACATCCGACTCCTCCGTTACAACATTTGGCTTCGACCTCACCTGGTCGTCATGTAAGTTTGTGGATTGTGTTGGCACAGCTTGCCTTTACCTTCGTAAAGTGTTTCTTTGTATTATACTTTCGTGGATTCTTTGATGGGCATTCTAGAAGTTGAGATAATGAAGAATGATGATAATTTTATGGATATTTTGTGGATTTTGTGGATTCTTTTCACAGCTAACAATGCCCTTTCGACGGACGTCCGTCCTATAACTGCTGGGTCTTCCTGGACAGACTTGACGTCGCCATTCTTCCCCAGTACCCCACCCAGTGGTTTCCGACTTGAGTGGTTGGTGTCCAGCTCAGACAATACAATTGTCACACTCATGGTAAGTTGATCTCATACACAACACAGCTAACAATGCCGACTTGAGTGGTTGGTGTCCAGCTCCAGTTAACTTAATACTTCTTTTTGGTAAAATAGTGTTCATTGAAGGAAATCGAGGAATAGATTGATAATGATATTTGTTTTCTTGTTGTTGAGGTGGAGGACGTTGACCTTGGCCCTGACTGGATGCTGATGGTCTACAATGGGGAAGGGTATGACGACTCACTGCTGATGGCCTCCAGACGGACGGATCTCTCTTCTCCCGCCATCTATATCTCCACCGCCAGTAAAATTCGGATTATCCTGAAAGGGAAAGACACGTCTGGAGGGGGACGTGGCATTAAGCTCAGGGTTAAGAATGGTAAGCTGATGTTAATGTGATATCTAGCACTATACATATCAATGATCAGTGTGGGTTATTGCTACATAAACGGTCGGGGAATGCATTATGTAATCGATAGAATTCATCACCAGGATGCATCGTTGAGTCATTGATTCATGCATGCTCTAAACAAGAAGTAAAGAGAATCTATGCATCCCTCGTCTGTAGGATGCAACGTTGAGATACAAGCAGCTAGTGGCACAGTGACCTCTCCTGGATTCAACAAGAAGATATACCCGACCTCTGTGACCTGTTCCTGGAAGATTCAGGCGCCGAGTGGTGCTAACAGGAACCTCATGGTCAAATTCCTTTACCTCGTTCTGGAGACCGTTGGCAAGGATCTAATCGAGGTACACTATTACAGACGTCATGTCTTGCAAACAAATCAGAAAGACGTAATCTGGTAAAATTATTATCTCTGTATTACTGACGATGTCTGTAAGGTTATAGTAGTTGGAATATTAAGACCTTCATACAATAATTCAGATAATGCTATAACCTTTACCGATATGTAACTGCGATGTCAATATACGACAGATATACAATGGTTCCGACGCATCGGCTGCAGCCCTCCACTCGGGCAGCGGCTACACCGGGGACCTAACGTCATCTCTTCCCAGCGTCAACGGAGGCAACACTCTCTTCGTCAGGTTCAAGTCCAGCCTCATCCAGGACGAGGGGGGTTTCCAGTTTGAGTTCTCAATAGGTGAGCGTCACTCATCAGCAGCAAGTACCAACATTTAATGCCTTAGTAAAGCTTCCAGTGTTTTGGTTGACTGATGACTGATGCAGTTCCCCATTTTGACTTGTACCATACGTTCCCCAATTTCTTCAGCTGACTTATCTTTGCATATGTTCATGACGGGTTGCGTCGGTGGGGCAGGATACGCTCACCATCAATCACTGTTTTGATGGTGATTCATGGACAATGTTCATGATATAGTCGGATTTGTACAATCGACTGACGATTTCTTTTAGTAATGAACAAGTGTCAGATCCAGGTCCGTGATTCGCTCCTCCAAACATTAATTCGGTACTACAATGGTGTGGTATGTCGGCGTGTGACAAACAGATTGCCGCACTCGTGTATGTTAAATATCTTTAACGCTTGACATTGTTCGCATGCGAGAATAGAGCTTATTTATGTGCCTAATATACACATGCTAAGGTATCGCCTATACATCCGTTTTAGTCATAGCATAATGATGTTTATTTGTATGATAAATTTAACCCTTCGAGTGCATCATACATTGATTTTAGATATGTACGTGCTACAGTCAAAGGAGCATTACGTGAAATATTAAGCAATTATCAAGTTTCAGTAAGTATTCATACAGTTAGACATAACCGGAAATAAACTGATTTCGTTGTTGAAAAAGAATCTGGCCTCCTCAACTGTCAACTACTCCAAAATCATCCTAGACAGGATTGTTGTACCACATTTCGATGGCGCTCTCCTGAACACAAGGCCAGTCTTCATTGACGACAATGCTAGGCCACATCGTGGTATGTCGTTGGCGATTTCTAAATTCAAGAGGCGGAAGCAACCCTAGCCCGTCAGATCTCAATTGCACAGAGCGCACTTGTGACATTATGGATCGTAGAATACGCAGAGATATCCCCCAGTACTAAATCTTGATGTTTTGGAACAAGTCCGCCATCCAAGATTGGAACGTCTAATACAGTTAGGAGGAGGAGAGTCACGGATGTTATTGCAATTCGTGGAAGTTGTATAAGACATTGACATTGTGCTCGGTTATTGATGCTTGGTTATTGATGCTTATGCGATTTTTTAGGATTATATGACAGAATCTTGAAAATGACCGCACCTGTTAACGACAAATGACCGCACCTGTTAACGACAAATGACCGCACCTGTTAACGACAAATGACCGCACCTGTTCACGACAATTGACCACAGGTCAGGGAACGAGGGTCAGTAAATTGAAGTTTGGATAAGTTCCTTTAGCACATTGATACTTGCAATACCCTTTTCCATGTGTATAATATGTGTGCACTGGTGGCAATGCCAGTACAGTTACGAATGGGGGACATTCAGATATTCCCATTTGTTGACTAAAGAGCCAGTTGAGAAATGTGTGTGTTATCGTTAAATATGCTACTCTGTTATCAGACTGCCCTACTATTCCCGCCTCGGCCAACATGGCGCAATCATCTGCCGCTACAGCCTATCTTAGCTCTGTGACTGTCAACTGCAACACTGGATACTCGTTCAAACAGGAGGAATATTATCAAAAAGCTACTGTGTCTTTCCTTTGTGAGAAGGGAGGGAAGTGGGATAATCCAAGATATCCTACCTGTCAGGGTAAGTAGCACTGGTGGGGTAGGAGACATGGTAAGCAGCCATGTCCGGTTAGGTAACACAGTGATTGTATGAGACATTGCGGTAGCAACCATGGTAAGCAGCCATGTCCGGCTAGGTAACACAGTGATTGTATGAGACACTGTTAATTAAGACTTGTGTCAGTTAAAATTCGGTTTATCTCTTGGCGTGTGTTGTTCATCCTTGGCTGTAGTTTCAATTGAACCCTGAACATCTAGGGTTAGAAAAATATGTTTAACAATAATAACCCCAAACCTCTGAGGTTTCAGTTACATATTATTTTGTATCAAACCTAGAATCATGAAGCAAGTTATTACTTGAATACATAATGTCTGTCATAAAGTAGTCAGATTTTACCATGAACATTTGGGCATAAACCATTTCAGTAAGGCACCTAATCGCCAGCACACAAATTCAGCCATCTAACTCACCCAGCCAACGCGGCTTCCAAAACTTTGACAACTGGTAGTCAAGACTACAATACTTTGTGTAGCCCATGTACTTCATGAAATGTAGGAACATCGGTGTATTTGAAAGGTGTGGCCAGGAAGCTTCTAGTTGCCGAAAGGGATTATCCAACTCTGCCGGTTATATATTTCAGTGGTCTACTGTGGAGCGCCGGATGCCATTGAGTTTGGTTTCGTGAAGAACTACAGTGGGGCTGTAACCTACAACAGCAAGGCTGTCTATGAATGCTACAATGGATTCACGATGAAAGGGACACCGGAGGTGACGTGTGGTACATCTGGAAAGTGGCAGACACTACCCACATGTGAATGTAAGTAAACGGACGAAAACACCTTCCTATGTAATCATTAAGTGTGAAAGAATAAAATGACTGCACACGTATCTGTCAGAACATGTTAGGTAACTCTCTGTGAGGATACCCTTCCTGTGTCAGTATATGCTGAGGTGAACTATGTACGTTTCGCCTTGAAGAACTATGCTAAATACTATACCAGCTGTGGGAGAAACCTAACTATGTTATCATCATGGTATCATAATCACATATCAGAATAAACCCGTGAAGATTCGGGTTGGAATATTGATCTTCAGTATCCCATGCTTGTCGTTAGAGGCGACCACCGGGATCGGGTGTTAAGGCTCGATGACTTGGCTGACATATGGCATACGGTTCCCCATTGCGTAGATCGATGTTCATGCTGTTGATCACTAGATTGTCTGGTCCAGACTCGGTTATTTACAGACCCCGCCCAATTGGTGGAATATTGCTGAGTGCGGCGTAAAACTAAACTCACTCACTCACATATCAGAATAACTATCAGTAAGAATAATCTGTGTATGTGCCTGTAGTAATATGATAACATCATTTATCATATACCTAGGAATAATACGGGCCATTTTGCACATACAATACTGGCTGTTGGCAAATGTCTACAGTAACGCCAAAAGAAACCTTACCCTCCTTCCTTAATGACGGAGGTACCTATCGACAGCTGGCTTTGTGATGCGTGGACGTCCATTTCTTGGTCTGTCTACGGTGACCCCAGTCTGTCTGAAGCCCTGAATAAGTTTAAATAATCGTGATACGGTGGCATCCGGGGGCGTTGTCAACACCATTGTATGTCTACCCCATTTGCACCATCCCAATGGCTCTTTCTCTCACTTCAGTTGTTAATCGTTGCATATTTCTCGTACTTGTGTATCATATCATGTATTCTAGTCTCTCTTTATACCCTATAGAATCACTCTACATGTGAAATGAATGCAAATACTGCTTGAATATTGCTGCGTTTCGGCGATTGATATTGCTATGTGTAAACAGAAAACGGAAAAATGTTCCTTTGCAAGCAAAATTGTTAACAAAGATAATTTTAGATGTTCCTAAACATTTTTGGGTATGATGTGGTGTGTGGTTATGATATGACAGGTTCCTTTTCGCCAGTTATATCAGCCCTTGGACTAATACAGTAGTCTCGGCTGATATGACTGGCGAAAGGAAAACGGTCAGGCCATAACCTTTTAGTATGTGACCAAAAAATCTCATGATGCAAATAGCTAGGCTTATTTAACCCAGGAATCAGGTAGATAACGTTCCGTTCCAGATTCAGCTGTTTCTTTGCTTATTCAAGCATCCACACCAATGGAACGGTGACACTTTACTAATGTAGGATTCTATGTTTAATCATGTAATGCAAAAAGACTTAACAGCCAACACGTGTCTAATCCGTTCCGTCTTCCCTTAGCTGCCACGTGTGGTGCTGCTCCTGCTGTGACGAATGCTGATTCCAACATCATCACCACGACAGGTGCGACGTCGTACGGGGCAATCGTGGAATACACGTGCAATGCCGGCTATGAGATTAAAGGATCTTCGCGCAGACTCTGCAACACCACCAACACGTGGACCAATACCGCCCCCACTTGTGAAAGTAAGAACAAAGCACCTGAATACCACCCCTCTTGTGAAAGTATGTACAGAGTATTTAAATACCACCCCACTTGTGAAAGTAAGCACAGAGCGTATAATAAGTACCTCACTTCCAAAAGTATCCACAGGGTGTACAATACATAGCCCTGTTGTGAAAGTAACAGAAAGCACAAGGTGAATAATACGTCCTCAACTTGTGAAAGAAAGCACAGAGCGTATAATAAGTACCTCACTTCCGAAAGTATCCACAGGGTGTATAATACATACCCCTGTTGTGAAAGTAACAGAAAGCACTTGTGAAAGTAAGCACAGAGTGTATAATATCTTCTCTACTTGTGAAAGTAAGCACAGAGTATATAATACCTTCTCAACTTGTGAAAGTAAGCACAGAGTGTATAATACGTCTTCAACATGTGAAAGTAAGCACAGAGTGTATAATACCTTCTCTTATTGTGAAAGTATGTACAGATTGCATCATACATCCTCAACTTGTGAAAGCAAGCACAGAGTGTATAATACGTTTTTCATTTATGAAACTAAGCACAGAGCGTATAATACGTCCTCAACTTGTGAAAGTAAGCACAGAGTGTATAATACGTTTTTCATTTATGAAACTAAGCACAGAGTGTATAATACCTTCTCAACTTGTGAAAGTAAGCACAGAGTGTATAATACGTTTTCCATTTATGAAACTAAGCACAGAGCGTATAATACGTTCTCTACTTGTGAAAGTAAGTACAGAGCGTATAATACCTTCTCTACTTGTGAAAGTAAGCAAAGAGTGTATAATACGTCCTCTACTTGTGGAAGTAAGCACAGAGAGTATGATACGTGCTCAACTTGTGAAAGTAAGCACATAGGGTATAATACGTTCTGTACTTGTGAATGTAATAACAAAGGTTATAATACCTCCTCTACTTGTGAAAGTAAGCATGGAGTGTATGATACGTGCTCGACTTGTGAAAGTAAGCACATAGGGTATAATACGTTTTGAACTTGTGAATGTAAGCACAAAGTGTATAATAGTTGCTCAACTTGTGAAAGTAAGCAAGGAGTGTGTGATGCGTGCTCAACTTGTGAATGTAAGCACAAAGTGTATAATACGTGCACAACTTGTGAAAGTAAGCACATAGGGTATAATACTTGCATAATAACTGCATGTCAAATCAATACCACTGTTGTAGAGGCGTATATGTGAGGAACTTCATGTCATATCAATACCGCCGTTTTAGAGGCGTATATGTGAGAGGTAGTCCAGTCTGTACCGATGGCGCTCTACTTTGCAGAATCATACAGGCTATACCCACTGCGCCAAACTTTCGAGAATACGTACAAACTGTAGCAATAACACTCCACTGTGGATTATGTCCAGACTAGCTACAGTTAACGTTGTTTAGGCAATATTTCAGCCATGTAACGACGAGGCCTTGTCTCAACATATACACATATTCATTATTAATACAAAAATATAATATTATTTAAAAGTAATTCTTCCATATACACTACTAGTTCAACCATTTCAATATTATTTACAATTTTCAACACCACCACAAGAAATTTAAAAACATCAATAGCGCCGCACGTTTGAGAGCAAGTCCAGAGCATAACACAAGGGATGGGAGTTCTCGATCATCTTCCATGTGATAAACGATGTATTGGGTCAAATCAGAGTCATATTGACAACTGGTATCCAACAATTATCTTGCGACATATCCAAGCATTTCGTGAAATACATATGTTGTGGTAATGACGACAAACCACTGATTCCGTTTATAAAATCGTGAAAGAGTATTTCGCAATTAACCTGGTGAAAAGATACCTAGTGCTATCTCTGATGATGGATTCATAGCAAGGTATATTCATTTCAGGGAAGAAATGTGCTCTCCCCCAAATCGCTTTGGGCTTGCTGAACGTGGCCAAGCCAGCTGATTTCGAGGACAAGGTAACTCTGGCGTGTGAGCCTGGCTATTGGGCCTCCACTACAAACAAAACAGAAGCCGTCCTCACGTGTAAAGCGGACGGCAGATTTGAGGAAGTCTCCTGCGTGGGTATGTATAGTGAATTCCGGTAACTAAGCTACATTGAAGGGCCAGAAACATGAACTGGGGATATTCACGTGTGGGATGTCAGAACTTGTTTAGGTAATCTGTGCAGTGACTTCATTCAGGTGAGAAGAACTAGAGTTATAGGCAGGCTGGGGTATACACTTCTCCTCTAACGTTAAACTTGTTTAACTCCGATTGATATTCATCGCATGTGTCAGAAGTTTCCCAGCAATATTTGGTCTTCGTTGAAACCTTCATGTGATATATTTTGTGCAGATGAAGACGAGTGTGTCACCAAGTCCCCTTGCTTGTCTACACAGACCTGTGTGAACAATGTCGGCTCCTACAAGTGTGTGTGCAGACATGGCTACAGACCAGGGACTCCCGTGCTGTGTGAAGGTTCGAGTGTACAACATGCATTTAGTTATGTTCAATATCAAGTAAAATATGTGCTGTATTTCAGTGAGATCTTCCTCTGTGCATGATGGTATTTCTCGATTGTTCATACATACACTCCATTGCAGTGTAGCGAAAGAGTACTGCAGTCGAAAGTGACATATTAGACACGTTTTGTTTTGTTCTATATCGAATTGGGAAGCTATTTTGGGGGCATAGTTCTGAAATAAAAGTTTCAATCTCCTTAATCAGTCAAGCCTCTATCGCACTTATCAAAGACCCAAGGTCTCCCCTGGTCACTCTCGGGGGCCCATTCGAAGGCCCCGGTAACCCGGGTACTGTCGACCAACCGTGCAGGGTATTCGGACAATGTGGGTGGGGATTAGTACCTATCACTGAATAAAGGATTCATACTCTGAAAACAAAATGCATTCAATTTAAAAGTTAACTGAAAATCGCTGCAAGCATCATCACAATCTTCTGAACTGTTGAGATGATGACAGCTACATTGTACTTAAAGTCAACAATGGGCTAACCTCGGCCAGCAGTGGTTACAGGTACTGTTGGTTGGTGAAGTGATGCAGTGTATTTCAAGTTAACAATGGGCTAACCTCGGCCAGCAGTGGTTACAGGTACTGTTGGTTGGTGAAGTGATGCAGTGTATTTCAAGTTAACATTGGGCTAACCTCGGCCAGCAGTGGTTACAGGTACTGTTGGTTGGTGAAGTGATGCATTGTATTTCAAGTTAACATTGGGCTAACCTCGGCCAGCAGTGGTTACAGGTACTGTTGGTTAGTGAAGTGATGCAGTGTATTTCAAGTTAACATTGGGCTAACCTCGTCCAGCAGTGGTTACAGGTACTGTTGGTTGGTGAAGTGATGCAGTGTATTTCAAGTTAACATTGGGCTAACCTCGTCCAGCAGTGGTTACAGGTACTATTGGTTGTGAATATTTGGACTTAAGTCCCGCGTTCATCGACAGATATCAACGAGTGCAGTGACGGTAATGGCGGCTGCCAAGACGGCTGTCAGAACTCCCCGCGGGATCCTACACCTGCACCTGCAAAGAGGGATACAAACTGTTTGAAAATGGAACCAACTCGAAGTTCATCGTGGAAGGCGAGACGGGTCTCAAGAGACTTGACGTGTACCATGTGAACCACTCGTGTGTCCGTGAGTAGCTCCAGTTCAAGTAGCTCCTATGGTGGTAATGTGGACACTTAACATATCATGATGACAGAACTGCTTGAGTGAGGTTAGACTGGGTGTGATGTTCGTCACGACAGGACGTACAGTAGAACAGAATTGTTTGACACCTAGTAGAGGTGTGACGGAGGTACAAGGTGCACCGCAATATCATACGTCGTCATACAACAGAGTTGGAATAATGATGGGTCAGATAGCAAACTTTGTTATGTTATATTTAGTTTCGTGTCACACTGACATATTTTAAAAGACATTTACGCTGAGTTTCCGTGTTTATTACCTTCATTACTATCTCAAAGTTCGTTTTATTCCACACCATCCGTATTTCAGGGAACACGTGTCCTCGTCCTAGTGATGTCACCAATGGCGTCCTACACAGTAAGAAACAGACCTTCTTCTACCAGGATGAGATTATGTACAGCTGCCAGCTGGGATTCACCTTGAGCGGAAATGAGACGAGGACATGTCAGGCACCTGGAACCTGGTCTGGATCTGATCCTACTTGCACAGGTGAGTGGGTGGGCTGAAGGTACAGCTGGGTGGCACGGTAACACTGTAAATATTGTCCAATGTAACAGTGACAATCTGTCGATCCAGTTTGTTCCCACCTGAGTATCAGCTCGAGAAGAGGAGGCATGCCACATATTCTTACCAATGGAAGATGAACACCCAATTTTTCATCTGTCGAAAGCGAATCTGTCATGGGTGCTGGCTGCACACAGTCATCCGACTTAGGATGTTCTTAACGTGTTCCCGAAGGACTAATGGATCTATTGAGCTTAACGATGGCGTAATAAGTGTGATGACAAACCAAAATAACAGTTTCTGTTGATGTCGACATAAGTTTACTTCAGCGGAATGCGCTCTACATTCATCCTCACAGACTCCTCATGTCTGATTAAAGCATGTTATGCATACAACAGAGGCAAAGGTTATTGTGACATGAAATTACATTGTTCATCTTGTGCATGAAATCTTGGTTTTGAACCAGAGAAACAGTGCGTAAAAGTTTCAAAGAATCGAAAGCAAGCCGCGAATTGTCCAAGAAACATGACATATGGGAGATTTCCACTCAATGTTGTCTTAAGAAGTGAAGAGAAACAACTCTCTTCATATTTTGGAACAAGTTGGACATGCCACGCCGGGGAAAATGACAGACGTAGAGCTATCGGGGTGCTTCAGTCTGGTACCTGGCAGTGTGACGTCGATTCCGTGTCCACAGAAACACCAGTTTCGGCAATACAATCAAGTTATTGATCGTCCTCGTTTCCCACAATTAACTACCTCACGCCAGGACAGCACTTCCGACACAGGTTCCAACCTGGCCCCGATTTCTCGAAACAAACTTAAGTCTGAGTTTTGACTTAAGTTCGAGTTTTGACTCAAACAGAGAAAATGCATTTAGCAGAATGAACTGAAATTGATATTAAACGCAAACATACTAGACAATTGGAGTTTGGTGAATGGATTACTTAAGTTGTTTGGGCTTTTTCATTTTATAAATGCAGTTGAGGTTAAAATTCAGCTGTTTCACATTGTCAAACTCAGTTTGAAATTTGAGTAAAAACTTAAGTTTGTTTGGAGAAATCGGGGCCAGGTGTATGTGATAACAGTTCGGAGTCCGTGCATGTCGCCCTAATTGACGACCAATTCTGACTCCAGGGCATGAGAGTGGAGAAGAATTCTCACTCCCGACGAGATCACATTATATTTTTACCGAGCTGATGTCAGCACTCGTGTTTACCAGCGCACAGGTGAACGTTGCATCAGGCCATGTGTTCTAGAAGGGGATCGGATCGGATGTAGGGCGTTATGATCTGGGTGAGATGGCAGCTGTAGCAAGGACGCTCATGATTAAGCGGGGCCTGAGTGTGTAAGGTACTGAGACGGGAATTTGGAAATTGCTACTTTATCGTATTCTTTATCAACAGAACGGCCCTGGAGTATCTTAATCGAACAATGTCAAGTTGTTACCTGTCCCGCATGTTCACCTATTTTGTCACCCTTTGGACACATGTTGAAATGGAACGACGTTTACAACGTCATCCGAATCCTCAAACAACACTGCAGGAACCCCCAGGACGTTCATCGACGTTGCCTCAGTGAGGGGAAGGTGCCATGCCTGCATCCGTGCTCAAGGTGGACAAGCTCGAGGTGGACAAACTCAAGGTGGGCAAACTCAAGATGGGCAAACTCAAGATGGGCAAACTCAAGGTGGACAAACTTAAGGTGGACAAGCTCAAGGTGGACAATCTCAAGGTGGGCAAACTCAAGATGGGCAAACTCAAGGTGGACAAACTTAAGGTGGACAAGCTCAAGGTGGACAAGCTCAAGGTGGACAAACTCAAGGTGGGGAAACTCAAGATGGGCAAACTCAAGGTGGACAAACTTAAGGTGGACAAGCTCAAGGTGGACAAGCTCAAGGTGGACAAACTCAGGGTGGACAAACTCAAGATGGGCAAACTCAAGGTGGACAAACTCAGGGTGGACAAATTCAAGGTGGACAAACTCAAGGTGGGCAAACTCAAGGTGGGCAAACTCAAGGTGGGCAAACTCAGGGTGGACAAACTTAAGGTGGGCTAACTCAAGGTGGGCAAACTCAAGGTGGACAAACTCAAGGTGGGCAAGCAAAACTCAAGGTGGACAAGCTCAAGGTGGACAAGCTCTCTAGGTGGACAAACTCAGAGGTGGACAAGCTCAAGGTGGACAAGCTCAGGGACAAGCTCAGGACATACTCAAGGTGGACAAGCTCAAGGTGGACAAACTCAAGGTGGACAAACTCAAGGTGGACAAACTCAAGGTGGACAAACTCAGGGTGGACAAATTCAAGGTGGGCACAAACTCAAGGTGGGCAAAAGCTGGGGTAAACTCAAACTCAGGGTGGACAAAACTCAAGGTGGGCAAACTCAAGGTGGACAAACTCAAGGTGGGCAAACTCAAGGTGGACAAGCTCAAGGTGGACAAACTCAAGGCTCAAGGTGGACAAACTCAAGGTGGGCAAACTCAAGGTGGACAAACTCAAAGGTGGACAAACTCAAGGTGGACAAACTCAAGGACAAACTCAAGGTGGGCAAACTCAAGGTGGACAAAAGGTGGACAAGCTCAAGGTGGACAAACTTAAGGTGGACAAACTCAAACAAACTCAAGGGTGGACAAACTCAGGTGGACAAACTCAAAGCAAACTCAAGGTGGACAAACTCAAGGTGGACAAACTCAAGGTGGACAAACTCAAGGTGGGCAAACTCAAGGTGGACAAACTCAAGGTGGGCAAACTCAAGGGTGGACAAACTTAAGGTGGGCAAACTCAAGGTGGGCAAACTCAAGGTGGGCAAACTCAAGGTGGGCAAACTCAAGGTGGACAAACTCAAGGTGGACAAGCTCAAGGTGGACAAGCTCTAGGTGGACAAGCTCAGAGTTGACATACTTAAGGTGGACAAGCTCAAGGTGGACAAGCTCAGAGTTGACATACTTAAGGTGGACAAGCTCAAGGTGGACAAACTCAGAGTGGAAAAACTCAAGGTGGGCAAACTCAAGGTGGACAAACTCAGGGTGGACAAATTCAAGGTGGACAAACTCAAGGTGGGCAAACTCAAGGTGGGCAAACTCAAGGTGGGTAAACTCAAGGTGGGCAAACTCAGGGTTGACAAACTCAAGGTGGGCTAACTCAAGGTGGGCAAACTCAAGGTGGACAAACTCAAGGTGGGCAAACTCAAGGTGGACAAGCTCAAGGTGGACAAGCTCAAGGTGGACAAGCTCAAGGTGGACAAACTCAAGGTGGGCAAACTCAAGGTGGACAAACTCAAGATGGGCAAACTCAAGGTTGACAAACTCAAGATGGGCAAACTCAAGATGGGCAAACTCAAGGTGGACAAACTTAAGGTGGACAAGCTCAAGGTGGACAATCTCAAGGTGGGCAAACTTAAGGTGGATAAGCTCAAGGTGGACAAGCTCAAGGTGGACAAACTCAAGGTGGACAAACTTAAGGTGGACAAGCTCAAGGTGGACAATCTCAAGGTGGACAAACTTAAGGTGGATAAGCTCAAGGTGGACAAGCTCAAGGTGGACAAACTCAAGATGGGCAAACTCAAGATGGGCAAACTTACGGTGGACAAACTTAAGGTGGACAAGCTCAAGGTGGACAATCTCAAGGTGGGCAAACTCAAGATGGGCAAACTCAAGGTGGACAAACTCAAGGTGGACAAACTTAAGGTGGACAAGCTCAAGGTGGACAAGCTCAAGGTGGGCAAACTCAAGGTGGGGAAACTCAAGATGGGCAAACTCAAGGTGGACAAACTTAAGGTGGACAAGCTCAAGGTGGACAAGCTCAGAGTGGACAAACTTAAGGTGGACAAGCTCAAGGTGGACAAACTTAATGTGGACAAACTCAGGGTGGACAAATTCAAGGTGGACTAACTGAAGGTGGACAAACTCAGGGTTGACAAACTCAAGGTGGACAAACTCAAGGTGGACAAACTCAGGGTGGACAAATTCAAGGTGGACAAGCACAATGTGGACAAGCTCAAGGTGGACAAAATCAAGGTGGACAAGATCAAGGTGGACGGACAAACTTTCTTCTGACCATGTGGACTTGCTTGTGAACTCTTCTGGTGTTGTGTCTCATTTGCATATGCAAGAGGCGCTGTTCATATGAACAGTTGACCTTAACTTCAAACATTTGTCTTTCCATGTAATAACACTTCAGTTTAAAATTGTAACAATGATTCTGTTTTTGTTGGTGTTTCACAATTCATTTTGACTTTTTCACATATATTTGTCAAAATCCTCACAGCAGTTCCATTGCCCGTGTTGATATTGTCAGTGTCATTCTCCTTTCATCATTACAGCAGTTCCATTGCCCGTGTTGATATTGTCAGTGTCATTCTCCTTTCATCATTACAGCTGTTACCTGCTCAGCACAGACAAGCCAAGGGACTGATGTCCAGAAGGAGAGGGCGGTTCGCATTGTCCCGACAACTCCTGTTCCGTTCAAGGGCAAGGTGGTTATAGAGTGCAGGAAGGAGGATAGCTCCACCTTCAACAAAACCCTCTACTGTGCCTATGACAGCAAGACGAAGACATATACCTTACAAGGCGACTCCCCCATCTGTCCAGGTGAGATAATGTATGACAGTGAGGCAAAGACATACACCTGACAAGGCGGCACACCCATCTGTCCAGGTGAGATAAAGCATGACAGTGAGACGAAGACATATACCTGACAAGGCGACTCCCCCATCTGTCCAGGTGAGATAATGTATGACAGTGAGGCAAAGACATACACCTGACAAGGCGGCACACCCATCTGTCCAGGTGAGATAATGTATGACAGTGAGACGAAGACATATACCTGACAAGGCGACTCCCCCATCTGTCCAGGTGAGATAATGTACGACAGTGAGGCAAAGACATACACCTGAAAAGGCGGCACACCCATCTGTCCAGGTGAGATAAAGCATGACATCAAGACGAAGACATACACCTGACAAGGCGACTCCCCCATCTGTCCAGGTGAGATAATGTATGACAGTGAGAAGAAGACATATACCTTACAAGGCGACTCACCCATCTGTCCAGGTGAGATAATGTATGACAGTGAGGCAAAGGCATACACCTGACAAGGCGGCACACCCATCTGTCCAGGTGAGATAATGTATGACAGTGAGGCAAAGGCATACACCTGACAAGGCGGCACACCCATCTGTCCAGGTGAGATAATGTATGACAGTGAGGCAAAGGCATACACCTGACAAGGCGGCACACCCATCTGTCCAGGTGAGATAATGTATGACAGTGAGGCAAAGGCATACACCTGACAAGGCGGCACACCCATCTGTCCAGGTGAGATAATGTATGACAGTGAGAAGAAGACATATACCTTACAAGGCGGCACACCCATCAATGCAGGTGAGATAATGTATGACAGTGAGACAACTGAATATACCTTACAAGGCGGCACACCCATCTGTCCAGGTGAGATAATGTATGACAGTGAGACAACAACATATACCTGACAAGGCGACTCCCCCATCTGTCCAGGTGAGATAATGTATGACAGTGAGACGAAGACATATACCTGACAAGGCGACTCCCCCATCTGTCCAGGTGAGATAATGTGCGACAGTGAGGCAAAGACATACACCTGACAAGGCGGCACACCCATCTGTCCAGGTGAGATAAAGCATGACATCAAGACGAAGACATACACCTGACAAGGCGACTCCCCCATCTGTCCAGGTGAGATAATGTATGACAGTGAGAAGAAGACATATACCTTACAAGGCGACTCCCCATCTGTCCAGGTGAGATAATGTATGACAGTGAGGGCAAAGGCATACACCTGACAAGGCGACTCCCCATCTGTCCAGGTGAGATAATGTATGACAGTGAGGCGAAGAAATATACCTGACAAGGCGGCACACCAATCCCCAGGTGTCCAGGTGAGATAATGTATGACTGACAAGGACGACACATCTGTCCAGGTGAGATAATGTATGACAAGGCGACTATACCTTACATCTATCCGGTTGAGATCATGTATGCGGTGACAGTGAGACAATGACATATACCTGACAAGGCGACTCACCCATCTGTCCAGGTGAGATAATGTATGACAGTGAGACAAAGACATACACCTGACAAGGCGGCACACCCATCTGTCCAGGTGAGATAATGTATGACAGTGAGGCAAAGGCATACACCTGACAAGGCGGCACACCCACCTGTCCGGGTGAGATAATGTATGACAGTGAGGCAAAGGCATACACCTGACAAGGCGGCACACCCATCTGTCCAGGTGAGATAATGTATGACAGTGAGAAGAAGACATATACCTTACAAGGCGGCACACCCATCAATGCAGGTGAGATAATGTATGACAGTGAGACAACTAAATATACCTTACAAGGCGGCACACCCATCTGTCCAGGTGAGATAATGTATGACAGTGAGACAACAACATATACCTGACAAGGCGACTCCCCCATCTGTCCAGGTGAGATAATGTATGACAGTGAGACGAAGACATATACCTGACAAGGCAACTCCCCCATCTGTCCAGGTGAGATAATGTATGACAGTGAGACGAAGACATATACCTGACAAGGCGACTTCCCCATCTATCCGGTTGAGATCATGTATGACAGTGAGACAATGACATATACCTGACAAGGCGACTCACCCATCTGTCCAGGTGAGATAATGTATGACAGTGAGACGAAGACATATACCTGACAAGGCGACTCCCCATCTGTCCAGGTGAGATAATGTATGACAGTGAGACGAAGACATATACCTGACAAGGCGACTCCCCCATCTGTCCAGGTGAGATAATGTATGACAGTGAGATGAAGACATATACCATACAAGGCAACTCCATTATCTGTCCGGGTGAGATAATGTATGACAGTGAGACGAAGATATATACCTGACAAGGCGACTCACCCATCTGTCCAGGTGAGATAATGTATGACAGTGAGATGAAGACATATACCTTACAAGGCGACTCCATTATCTGTCCGGGTGAGATAATGTATGACAGTGAGACGAAGACATATACCTTACAAGGCGACGCCACTATCTGTTCAGGTGATATTATGTATGACAGTGAGACAACGACATATACCTGACAAGGCAACTCCACTATCTGTCCGGGTGAGATAATATATGACAGTGAGACAATGACATATACCTGAAAAGGCGACTCCCCCATCTGTCCGGGTGAGATAATGTATGACAGTGAGGCAAAGACGTACACCTGACAAGGCGACTCCATTATCTGTCCGGGTGAGATAATGTATGACAGTGAGACGAAGACATATACCTTACGAGGCGACTCCCCCATCTGTCCAGGTGAGATAATGTATGACAGTGAGACAACGACATATACCTGACAAGGCAACTCCCCCTCCTGTCCAGGTGAGATAATGTATGACAGTGAGACGAAGACATATACCTTACAAGGCGGCACACCCATCAATGCAGGTGAGATAATGTATGACAGTGAGACAACTAAATATACCTTACAAGGCGGCACACCCATCTGTCCAGGTGAGATAATGTATGACAGTGAGACGAAGACATATACCTGACAAGGAGACTTCCCCACCTGTCCAGGTAAAAATGTGTCACCGAGGCGGTGAAAGGGTAATCCCATATGTAACACTTGATCACTTTTTAGAAGCTCTTGTGCATTCAAAACAATTTTCAAGAAGATGCTGCATGACGTCAGCGCAAAATAACACTTGACTTTACTCTTGACCTCTAAAAGTTAGTGATGACGTGAGGAAAAGAAGACAAATATACTTTTCAATACCGTGGATGAGTTTACCTGAATATGAACAGTCACAGTGACAGGTGATAATTTAGTTATTTTGTTTGTTGACGTGAAACGTTTGTGATATTTTAAATTGGACATGTAGATATCTACAAACAAACGTGGCATCAGAAAGCAACAAAGAGTTATATCATGTAATGAAATGTGTGATATATAACATTATATGATCAAAATTTCTTCAGGCAGTAATTGCTCTAATTAGTAAACTGCACAGCAAGTTATTATGTTTAAACCAGCTCGTTACATGATTATGTTTGGCAGTTTCGTCAACTACATCTTCTCTTATGCTGCTGAGAAGAATGACTTTCTATATTTAGTTCCAACACGTGCAGCACGTGTTGTGGTCAGTGTGGTCTGATGTGGTCTGAAGTCATCATATTAGTTGTTCGAGAAACACCATTTGAAGAATGCATTTAGTCATGTAACGATGCCAAGTGGGGTGTAAATAACAAAGGGTATTCATGTTTTACACCTTCATGTCTTTCAGTTGTTGACTGTGGGCCTGTGGAGGACATCGCTGGATTTAACAAACCTAACCTAGCAACGATTGGGTCAACGTTTGGGAAATCATTTCAGTTCAGTTGCAGAACAGGGGCGACGCCATCGGGAGTTTCCACTGAAAATAGCAACACTGTGAGGTGCCTTCAAAATGGTCGATGGGGATTCGGTAATCTCACCTGCATAGGTATGTGTTGCTTGTGGGACGTTGCTTACTTGAAGCAGAAATTAAATCAAAATGGAAATGTAAAAAGTTGAAAAGTATGTTTTTCATTCATATGATTATTATTAGATGACTGTTTTAACCTCCGGGAAATACTTATGGCGTGACAATAGATTGAGATGAAGTGACTATCACAGGTAAATTGCTGCTGTGGCATCTATCTTGAAGTATAATCAGACATTTATACATTTACATATAAATATGTGAATTTACTAATATTGTTGAAGTTACCAAATACAAATAAATTTATCTTTTTTCAATAATCCAGTGAACTTGTGTGACGTTTTATGTTGCCCGTGTCTGTGGTTTGTGCATGTATGTTTAGCGTACGAACGTGCGTGCGTGCGTGCGTGCGTGCGTACGTCTGTGTTTTGGAAATGTGCCTTTAGAGAGTGTATTTGTGTTTTCTGTGTGGTGTTTAGCAATGTTCCAGTGTAGGAATTACATCAATAGAGGTATTGACGTAACAGTGTGTACTGATGGGAAAATATGGAGAAATCTGACGTTTCATATTAACTTCTATCGGTATACCACCCCAACGTATACTCTTTTCATCTCGCAGAAAAAGTTTCCCATTACATGATTAAGATGGTATAGTGTGATTTCTATATTTATCAGCTGCGACGTGCCCGGATCCAGGTACTCCCGGGGGATCGGAGCAGATATTTGACAGCTACGAGCAGGGCAAGGTTGTGGCTTACAGGTGTACAAGACCTGGATTCACACCTGTTCCCGATGACAACCGCACCTGCGTCTACTCAGACACCGCTAAGTCAGCATCGTGGAGTGGAAGTGTTCCTGTGTGTGAAGGTAATCACTGAATGGAAGTGTTCCAGTGTGTGAAGGTAATCACTGAATGGAAGTGTTCCTGTGTTTGAAAGTAATCACTGAATGGAAGTGTTCCAGTGTGTGAAGGTAATCACTGAATGGAAGTGTTTCTGTCTGAAGGTAATCACTGAATGGAAGTGTTTCTGTGTGTGAAGGTAATCACTGGGTGGAAGTGTTCCTGTGTGTGAAGGTAATCACTGAATGGAAGTGTTCTTGTGTGTGAAGGTAATCACTGAATAGAAGTGTTCCAGTGTGTGAAGGTAATCACAAGACGGAAGTGTTCCTGTCTGTGAAGGTAATCACTGAATGGAAGTATTCCTGTGTGTGACGGTAATCATTGAATGGAAGTGTTCCTGTGTTTGAAAGTAATCACTGAATGGAAGTGTTCCAGTGTGTGAAGGTAATCACTGAATGGAAGTGTTTCTGTCTGAAGGTAATCACTGAATGGAAGTGTTCCTGTGTGTGAAGGTAATCACTGGGTGGAAGTATTCCTGTGTGTGACGGTAATCATTGAATGGAAGTGTTCCTGTGTTTGAAAGTAATCATTGAATGGAAGTGTTCCAGTGTGTGAAGGTAATCACTGAATGGAAGTATTCCTGTGTGTGACGGTAATCACTGAATGGAAGTGTTCCTGTGTGTGAAGGTAATCACTGAATGGAAGTGTTCCAGTGTGTGAAGGTAATCACTGAATGGAAGTGTTCCAGTGTGTGAAGGTAATCACTGAATGGAAGTGTTCCTGTGTGTGAAGGTAATCACTGGACGGAAGTGTTCCTGTGTGTGAAGGTAATCACTGAATGGAAGTGTTCCAGTGTTTGAAGGTTATCACTGAATGGAAGTGTTTCTGTTTGTGAAGGTAATCACTGAATGGAAGTGTTTCTGTTTGTGACGGTAATCACTGAACGAAAGTGTTCATGGGTGTGAAGGTAATTACTGAATGGAAGTGTTCCTGTGTGATGGTAATTACTGAATGGAAGTGTTCCTGTGTGTGACAGTAATGACCGAATGAAAGTGTTCCTGTGTGTGAAGGTAATCGCTGATTGGAAGTGTTTCTGTGACTGAAGGTAATCACTGAATGAAAGTGTTTCTGTGTGTGACGGTAATCACTGAATGGAAGTGTTCCTGTGTGTGACAGTAATCACTGAATGGAAGTGTTCCTGTATGTGAAGGTAATCATTGAATGGAAGTGTTTCTGTATGTGAAGGTAATCACTGAATGGAAGTGTTCCTGTATGTGAAAGTAGTCACTGAATGGAAGTGTTCTTGTGTGTGAAGGTAATCACTGGATGGAAGTGTTCTTGTGTGTGAAGGTAATCACTGGGTGTAGTGTTCCTGTGTGTGAAGGTAATTACAGGCTGAAGCGTTCCGTTGTGTGAAGGTAATCTTTGGTGGAAGGGTTCCTGTGTGTGTGAAGGTAATTACTTGCTGGAAATGTTCCCGTGTGTGAAATTAATCACTGGCTGAAGGTGTTCCTGTATGTGAAGGTAATGACTGATTGGAAGTGTTCCTGTGTTCGAAGGTAATCACTGAATGGAAGTTTTCCCGTAATGTGAAGGTAATCACTGAATGGAAGTGTTCCTGTGTGTGACGGTAATCACTGGATGGAAGTGTTCCTATGTGTGAAGGTGAGCACAGGACGGAATTGTTCCTGTGTCTGAAGGTAAGCAGAAGACGCAGGTGTTTCTGTATGTGAAGGTAATCACTCGATGGAAATGTTTCTGTCACTTTGCCAAGACGGGTTGTATATTGTGTTATAATGGGCCCGGTTTTATCCCTCGATGAAGTGTTCCTGTGTGTGAAACTAATCACTGGATGGAAGTGTTCCTGTGTGTAAAGGTAATCACTGAATTTAAGTGTTCCTGTGTGTGAAGGTAATTACTGGCTTGAAGTGTTCCTGTTCGTGAAGGTAATCACTGGGTGGAAGTGTTCCTGTATGTGAAACTAATCACTGGATGGAAGTGTTCCTGTGTGTAAAGGTAATCACTGAATTTAAGTGTTCCTGTGTGTGAAGGTAATCACTGTGTGGAAGTGTTCCTGTTCGTGAAGGTAATCACTGGGTGGAAGTGTTCCTGTATGTGATGGTAATCACTGGATGGAAGTGTTTCTGTGTTTGAAGGTAATCACTGGGTGGAAGTGTTCCCTTGTGTGAAGGTACTGGATGGTAGTGTTTCTGCTTCTGAAGCTAATGCTGGGTGGAAGTGTTTCTGTATGGGAAGGTACTCCTGTGTGGACACGGTGTAAAATGTGTCCACCACACCCCATTGCTGGCTGTAAAAGGTGACCGAATTCTGCAAGCTGTTTGCCGTGGGCTGCGCCCTGGGTCTGTGGAGGACAGGAGTCTGGCGGGAGGGTAGAGAAACCAGGACCAGTTGTTGCTGTTGCCCAACACACCACTCACTTCACCAAGACAGGTTGTAGAATGGGCCCGGCTTTATCAATCGGCTGGTTTCGCCAGGACCTATGCAAAGTGAGTTTTGTTGCACATATTTGATATATTATTTGGTCGTGGGCCAATCTGGCCAATTTGACTTCTGTGTTCTGTATGTCTTAAGGGATCTGTTAAGGGCAGACACAGCCTGACCTATACCCTGTTTGGCAAAAATAGCTACCTGTGTCCATTTTGCTGGAGTATAGCATCCCTGTAACCCTGGTGTTTGTAGATGGCTTGTCACTTCATGGTTGGTGGCTAGCAGGAATGTTGAATATTTTCCTTCATCATGGCTATCCCAGAATTAACAGGTCTGACCCACAACTTAGAGAAGGTATGTCGATACTGATACTGCTATTTCCTCGGATGATGAATCCGTACACAGTTCTGATTATAGGCCACGTTTTCTCGATGTAGAAGGTGTTGATGGTCTATTCCTCAAAATCAACCCTTTTGTAATTTCAAAATCAATAGAAGGCATTTGTGGCAACGTGAAGAATGTTACCCGTCTCCGCTCAGGTTCCTTGCTAATGGAATGTGTACGGAGACAAAAGTCTCTAAATCTGCTCAAAGCACATCATTTTGCAAATACTGAGATTGTTGTCTCAGTGCACAAAACCTCAAATTCATGTAGAGGCATTGTGCGTGACCGTGCGAAGTGTCTCTCAGACATGTATGAGGAGGAGATTGCAGCAGAGTTGAAGAATCAAGGTGTAACATCAGTGAAAAGGTTCAAGGAAAGATGGTGGCAGAATTATAAACACTTAAACCTACCTTTTCAGATTTGCACTTTCAAAGATACCTTTTTCAATCAAAACTTGGTATTTCAACATTGGAGTTGATGTGTATGTACCAAATCCACTCCTGTGTTATAAATGTTAACAGTTTGGACATGGAGCAAAATCTTGCCGTAATTCCCAAGTTTTCTCCCGCTGCAGTAGGAAACATGACAGTACAAACTGCACAGATATCATCAAATGTACAAACTGCAGCGGCGACCACATGTCATTTTAAAAATCATGCCTGTATTATGTGAACCAAAACAAAATCCTAACAATCAAGTACTCTAAAGACATTTCGTTTATAGAAGATAAGAAACTGGTAGAGAAGGAGTCCACTTCCACTTCTGCAATGTCATACTCTGCTGCTGTTTTCTCCTCACCTCCAAAGGTTGATCAGGGATGCCAAACAGCAAATAACAGAGTCACTAATGTACAGACGATTCTATACGATATTGAGGCTGGGGTCACGTCTTCTTCATCCACATCAGCTTCTCAAACTATCCTGTCTTCTGAAACAACACCAGAAACAACTATGCCTGAGCCTGAAATTGAACCTGAATCCGTTACTGATGTGAAAAGAAATACATCATTTTCAAAAAAGGAAAAATAAAAACTCAATGAAAAAGAATCAAAGGGCTTCAAACATGTTGAGGCGCCTTCACCATCGACTGTTCCTCTGCAGGTTCATAACATCTTTGAACCTCTGGATATGGAGGTCACTCCATCGCTGCCATTACAGAGTAAAGGACCTTCTTCTCGCTCACGATCTCCGATTGAAGCACCATGATCTGCTTGCCAATCTTAATACAATGGAAGTGTAGAGGTCTTCGGAATAATTTGATTAATCTTCAGCTATTAATTCAAGATTTAAAACCATCTGCTGTTTGTTTATAAGAAACATACTTCAAAACCCTAGATAAATATGATTTTAGGCAGTATGAATCATACCACCACTTTTCTCCTCAGGTGATTGTTTTGCTGATGCAGAGCATCCTTCATAGTCCTATTCCTCTCCACATTCTCTCCAGGCTGTTGCAGTTCGTGTGGCATTAAATGTTGTTTTCACGTTATGTTCTTTATACATTCCACCATCGCATTGTCTTCAGCAGTCTGATCTTCACGAACACGAAACCCTTCGAGGCTTGTAAAGGGGATTGATCCCGGCCGTACATAAATGCGACAACGTTGATGTTTATGTTAAAAAAAATACAATTGGAAAATGGGTACGTCGCATACCAAAAATGCTTATGAGTCAGCAGGTACTAACATATTGCCTGTATGATCCGGTATTCTCAAAACTTGTATCATAATATCGTGTCTCACATAACCATTCTTTAGAAATATATTGGGTTAGGCGAGAGTAATATCAAATAACCAGTCGATTTTGGGTAATATCACTTCTTATCATTTGTACACGTTGTTTTGTAAGTGCAGGTGTACAATTCGCCTTCGACGCCGGGTTTAACGAATCATTGCGTGTCCCCGAGATCAGTGTAAGCGATGGTGAAGCAAAATAGTCTTCAATTGATTTTCCGACAATCCGTAAACTATCGGGTAGAAAAATCTTAGCTAGTGAAATTTTTGTATCCAAAGTAATGGTGACCCTGTCGAGACTCACGTAAAACATTGTTTCTCTATGCATATAAATCGTGCAAATGTGATATTTATGATTTTGGGTCTAATAAAGTTTTAACCCCGTTAAAATTTTGACATCGCCTGTTTGTGTATATAATGGAATTTGGTGGCATCATTTCTAAGATGGTTAACACATTATCA